TCTCTCTCTCTCTCTCTCTCTCTTCCCTGACTGAATAGCTGTTCAGCAAATGATCTCCTTTAGAAATGAGATAACTGGGAAATTAGAACAATGATATGTGTAATAATTAACAGGCATTAAAAGGCATGTAAAACAAGCTATTAACATATTTGATTTCAGTCTCCGTTATCTGGCAAAAAGATACTTGTTGCAAATATGAATCTGGAAAATGTAAGGGATGAATACAAGTAATGGAGTAATGGGATAAGGTTTTGGAAAACAGACTTGAGGATGCACACATAAACATAAATATCCTCTGTCTTGTGGGTTTTGTTGCTTGACTCAACAGATACTTCCCCTGCAGAGTATAAATCCATTTACTGTCCTGGGACAGGATTCTGCAAAAGTTTTTCATATCAAATGGCATTCTTGATCTTCGTGTGACATGCAAGGCCATAGTCAAAAAAATAGCGGGTTTGGATAGGCTGAAAAATACACCTGTTTTTATTTCATTTACCTTATGATACATTAAAATAAAAAGTTGATAACAACTTTGGGAAATCCTCAAAGAGTTCACTGCGGGCTCCTGAGGAATGTGGGTTCAGGCTGTATACTCCTGTTATCAACTTGTATTATCTTTTCATAAAGGTGATAGCAAGAGTTGCTTAAAAGCAGGGGCCCCCAAACTTGGCAACATTAAGACTTGTGGACTTCAACTCCCAGAATTTTCCAGTCAGCATAGCTTAGCTGGCTGGAGAATTCTGGGAGTTGAAATCCAAAAGTCTTAAAGTTGCCAAGTTTGGAGACCTCTGCTTAAAAGGAAAGAGAAACTGACAAAAAGTCAAGATTTGTTTATTCTCTTGTTAAGAATGAATCTGACTTTTTTTCCTGGCTTCAGAAAAGATGGTTCAGGATGCTATCTGAGCACAGTTCCTACAGTCGTGTCAACACATAATCCAGAAAAGATGTAGAGTATTTGGAAGGTTATCAATAAAGTTGGTGCCTAACCAGTATCAATATGGTCTTAAAAAGAAAGAAAGTCCAGTTGCCTTTTGAAAAAGCACCTTGAGACAACCGTGGCCTGGATGATTGAGAATCTGCATATACACTAGGATCTTAGTTTGTTTCCTCCAGTTGGAAACTCTTTTACTTCGTAATATCCATTGTCATTTGATGGTAGTTCTGTGATGAGTAGAACTGTGTTCTGCTACTCCAAGCCAATAGTTCTGCACCCTGTGGTGAAAAAGAACAGATCTTTCCACCGTTTGGTGCATGTAGTTTCCTGTACTAAGTTCCACTTAGTAAGCCTGAATAATACCAGATGCTTTCTAATCTTTTGTTTTGCTAGCACAAACTACTCTTCTCTAAAAGGAAATACAACAACATTTTTAAAAGAAAAGAAAATTATTTACTTTTTTCTCTCCCCCTACCTTGTCCTCTTTTTTTCAGAAAGAGATTGCATGATGCAAAGGTACAAACTCAGCTTCAGCCTCCAAAATGTGGCTTACTAAACAGCACTATGAAATCATAGTAGCCAACATATTCCTGCATTTCCAATGTTGTCCTCACTCAAGCACACCTTGAATGTTTATGTTGGGCACAAATGCCATTATAAACTGTCTGTGAAGATATTATAAACAGAAATCTAAAAAGAGAAAGCAGTAATGTAGACAACAAGCCCTTAGAATTTTCCAGTGAAGCTCATTCAGCCCACAACACTCATCACTCAATGTGGGCTTTGCAGAAGATTCAGGATGGAAAGTACCACATCTCTTCAAGTAAAGAGATATTTATATATTACATTTAGAGTACTAGACAGATGTGGAGCATATGATCTTGTTCTGTACTTAAGTAGATTTGTTAAGTTTATTCAATAAGGCTGTTACTATCTTAGCTATTCATCTGTTTGTATATGTGTACCTCTGTTTATCACACAAAAAACGTCCTTTTTGTCAAATGGAAAAAAAACTATTTTTGGATGATGTATGTAATCACTGACTGATTGTCCCTATGCCTTGGCAGATTACCTGGATCCTGACCTGGGAAATGAGTCACTCTAGAGAAACTCAACCAGAACTTATGCATTGCCGTCTGTTGCTCAGTACATTCCACATTCCTACACATTTTGGTCAAATTAAGAAAGATAACCCTGGGTTCAAATCACCAAGGAAGCAGAACCAGATATCATTGTCTAAGATGGGTAATGGGGCCAATCCTGGTCAGGACTGTTTTCAAAAAACCTTTCAGAACTGGTGTTAAAACTTTATAGAGATTGCTGGGCTTTGCCTGGCTTAGTTGACCATATTCAAATCAGTAATGAGTTCTAGTTCAGTTTTCCTCTAGTAGAGGGGTCTCCAAACTTGTCAATTTTAACACTTGAGGACTTCAACTTCCAGAATTCACCAGCCAGCATGGGTGGCTAAAGAATTCTGGGAGTTGAAGTCCATAAGTCTTAAAAGTTGTCAGGTTTGGAGAACCGTGCTCTAATATCTAGTATCCTGTATCAGTTTCTAGATAATTGAGACAGCAGCATTTGGAAAACACTGTCCTAAAAGGCTTCATTTGTCCAGATTGGTTAAGAATGAAGTGCCAGATGCAAAGGAGGTAAAGTATTAGAGACTTTCTGGTAGAGACTCGAGTTAGCTTAATTTAAACTACTTCAGTGTTTGTCATCCTTCAACTCAAGACAAGCTATCTTAGAGCAGTTTATGAAAAGAGAATTAGCTCTATATAACTTGAAGAGGTCTTCATTTTCAGTGTACAATACAATCCATTTACATTATTTGGACACCAGATGATAATCATTTTGCCCATATCTCTTTGATCCATCCTGCTTTGAGTTGTTAAGTTACTTTGAGCCATTACATTACTACCTCTTGCTCCACCACTCCACTTCTTACTTTGGATGCAAAGGCTTTGAGCAACATGCCCATTTATGAATGGTTTAGAATTGTTTCAACTGGACAGGCATCCAGTTTAATCTTGAGGTTTCACATATAATGCTTGCTGGTAAATGGGCTGCAAACATTTTTATGTATACGGGTATAAGTACATCTAAGTACATGTGCAGATTTGATTATATGCAGCTTTTAACTGCTTGCAGTAATCTCAGCAACTTGGTCAGAAATTTAATGTAGAAATCAGTCTCATCCTCTAAGCTACCCATCTATGGTTTAGATTGTGTTCCGCGTGTGCAAAAATGGTAATTTATAATGTCATATCAATGTTTTTGACAAAAAAAAGATGCATTTGCCTCTTTTCCCTGTAATCCTTCAACCATGGTAGTGCCTGAAAGATGGGTTTGAGATGAAGCTGCTTTCAGACTTAATAATACATAGAATATTTGATTGCTGCCTTGATCATTAATTTGATTAATTCCCATAACTGCATATATGTTTGACATTTCATGACACATTTTAATATGCTCTCATGTACCGATTACACCAGGGTTATTATTTGCTATGATAATCATAACTCAAAATTGTTCTTCCAGGTGTATTGAATAGCATTCATCCTTTTCTCACACAAGAGGTAATGTTCCTTTTGCTTATATATTACAGGCCATAAACAGAGAGACTGGAGCCTTAGCTGCTGCCAAAGTTATTGAGACAAAAAGTGAAGATGAGCTGGAAGACTATATGGTAGAAATAGAGATTCTTGCTACTTGTGATCACCCACACATTGTAAAACTGCTAGGAGCCTTTTATTATGACAGCAAGTTATGGGTAAGGTATAATGCAGTGCTCTTCTTTTTCCAGGTCATTATATTTATCCAAGAATGTTAACATGCTGTGAGTGTACAAAATTATGCACAAGCAACCATGTGTAGCTTTGTCTTCTTGAAACTATTTATTGAATGCCTTCATATAATATTTTGCTTATGACATTTTTCCCCATAAATATGGCTAACAGTTGTTATGTGGAGTTCATATTTGCTTGTGATCCTGCTCCATACCATTAACCTTAATTTGCACTGAGGCAGACCTTCCTTTTGTACTACCAATGTTTCAGAGCCTCCTTGACTTATGAATTTCTATGTCAGGGTTCCAAGTAATACACCCATAGCAAACAGAACTCTGAGGTAGATAGGTTCCTCAAAGAATGGTTCTGTTGGACATATCATAGTGGCACAATCTGGTGAAAACTGACTCTGAATGTTCCCACAGTTTTCACCGAAATAAAAGTAAAAGTTTTTCCCCTTTTCCAAACAATCAGTCACAGGGTCCAATCAAGGTGCCATCCGGTTGCCTGGTAACTTCACTCCTCCTCCATCCAGCCACCTGTGGAAATGTCCTTGGTTCCCAGGAGAAAGTATTTTGTTTTGGCTACAAAACCCCAGCTATCTCACTTCCCCCCTCCCTATCCCTCAGCTCTCAAACCTCAAAATGGCTCCGGTCAGGTCAGCTTCAGGGTTAATACTCTATGGAACAATTAGAAATGCATCTTTTTTTATAGTTGAACTTTGCTTTATTCAAACCGATGAAACTCTGCTGGGCTCAGACTTTGAACTGTTAGCCAGATTATAAGTTCTGACTAAATGCTGTTTTGTTTCAACAAGCCATAAGCTGGTTCTCAAGATCTTTAGCTTACAATAAGGATCATCCTTCACAGCAAAGTAGGCGGGACTTTCTGATTGGATGATTGTTTAATCAACAGAAGTTTCTTCTTTTGAATTTTATTGCAGAAAAATGTTCAGTGAAATTTCTAGTATGCAGAAGAAGGATTCTGTATTGCAACAGGAATCTTGGCAACTATGATCAGAACAAAATCAATCTTATGTGGCAGTTATTTATTTAAAACCACTAAATTGCACCCTTCTTAAGTAGAGAAAAGTTGTAAGATATGTCGAGTAAAGGAACCTCCCAAGTTCACATGAGTATAACTGAAAATAAAATTTGGGGATTTGGGGCGGGAGTTAGTTGTACGGAGCTTTGGGGAGGAAGACATTTAACAACAGGAATGAAGTGAGCTCTTTGGAAAGACAGATGATTCACAAACCATCCACCTTCATCTGACCACCTTCCATTTCAATTCTGAAAACTTTTTCTTAGAAAGAACTTCAACATGTTTAAACAAATGCTCTTTTGGTTCAGGATTTTTTTTAAAGTGGTAAAAATTAGCATGTTTTTCTCCTTCTCTAAAATGACTGACATTCTGAGCTGGGGTGCAGTTGGGAGTTGTCTAAAAGCAACTTAAAAGATAACGGAGAAGAGGCAGGCAAAATCTTGTTCGCTCAATTTTTCATTAGTTGTGGTTTTTTCCCTTGCTCCTAATAGGGGAATACCTATGTCCAATGGTTTCCATATGCTATGTCTGAGAACTGCTTTTTGCTCAGTTTTGAACCAGATTTCCATTTTTGAAGATTTTTCTGATGTATATTTATTTTGTTGTATCTAATTAGATTTAATATAGCAATAGCACTTAGACTTATATACAGCTTCACAGTACATCACAGTCCTCTCTAAGTGATTTACAGAGTCAGCATATTGCCCCCAACAATCTGGGTCTTCATTTTACCCACCTGGGAAGGATGGAAGGCTGAGTCAACCTTGAGCCTGGTGAGATTTGAACTGCCAAATTGCAGGCAGCCGGCAGTCAGCAGAAGTAGCCTGCAGTACTGCACTCATTAACCACAGTGCCATGGTGGCTCAATACATATCTGCCCTAGCCCGAAACACTCTTTATTATAATATCCATTATATTTCTAATCAACCCAGTGATTGAAATTATTGGGCTCTATTTCTTTTTCAGTTATTTTAGCTGCCTTGCTTAAAATCACTTCACGCATAACCCAGTCTTGTGCTGTTTCTCTGTCTGTATGAATATTTTACCATAGTGTGGGAATCTTAACAGAGTGATTTTTAAAGTCAATGTGGATCCTAGTTGTTATGTTCCTATTGCAGCTTTCCCTCTAAAAAGATTAGTCTTGTATATGAATACGAGTTCCAGCTGCCATCACTTACACAATTTAAATTGAATTAAATGCCTCAGTGGAAGTGGAATGTTTATATGTGATCATCGCTTATAGTTTCTCAACCTTGGCAACTTTAAGATGGGTGGACTTCAACAAGCACCAACTGGGGAATTCCAGGGGTTGAAATCCACCCCTTTTAAAGTTGCTGAGACTGAGAAATACTGAACTAGTTGGAGCTCCAATAAACAGACAAACGGACAACATCCCCTATTGGATTTTCTGCAACTGTTTCTCCTGTGTCAGGTTTAGTTTACAGAAGTGGAACTTCAGGAACTAGAAGGCTAAAGTGCAGAAGGAAGGAACTATACAGTTCTCTGGAATTTTCCCGATGTCTCTTGAGTGATTTTTGAAAAGTTCAAGAGGCAACTCACAACCTCTACCATATGTCTCATGGGCACAAATCTTCAAGCCTCTATGAAATGTTTTATTAATACAAATTGTTTTAAATTAGTGAATTAAATTAGTGAATTGTTAAATTAAAATGTTCAGTTTGCTGATTAAAATATTTTTCTGGATTGAAGTAGTTATCCATTCTGAGTAGGAATCCCTCATTTCCCTTTAGAAATGTATTTGCAATATAATAAAATAATGAACTCTCAGTTAAGATGTTGATTGCCAAATGAAGGGTCAAAGAAACACAGTTTATATGCAACTAATAATTAAATTGTCAAAGCAGCCCTCCCAAAGGTGATGTCATGTATGAATACTATAGAACAGAGGTGTCAAACTCACGTTGTCATGGTGGCACCACGTGACGTATTCAGGACTTTTTTCCCCTTTCTAAACCGGGCAGGGCGGGGCCAACGCGTGACACATCCGGCCCATAGGCTGCAAATTTGACAGCCCTGCTATAGAGATAGCTCTCATTTATCAACCATAATTGGGACAAGTAACTTGGTCATTAAGTAAAGCAACTGCTTTAAAGTGAAACCATGACTGGCTTTGTGGTCTTACTTCAGCTTTGCTTTACAGATCTACATTGGTCACAGTTACTTTTTCATCACTGTCATATCTCTGAACAGTCATTTTTCTGGCTTACTAAATAGAAACTACCTATACCACCTTCCCTACATTAATATTATAAATAATAATTTCAACACAATACCCACCAATGCTACTATATTCCTGAATCTATTTATTGCAATAAAGGAAGAAAGTGACATTTGGAAGATGTTGTTTAAATTAGTCCTCATGGCTGAGTAATTTTATGAGCTGAATTCACCCAAAGACATATGAGCGGGCCAGAATTAAAAGTATGAACTGTTGGTCCTTCAAATCATAGTTCGGAATTACTGCAATGGCAAACATGATTTAGGACGAAGTATGTGTCATTAAATATTGAAGACGGTTTATATGAGTTTGGAAGTCCAAATGGGTGTAATCTAGATTTAGACTACAATGTCTAAATTATTATTTTCTAATTTTCCCCCACCTGGGATTGTTTCCAACTTCTCTTCCACTTGTAACTTGCTACTTTGGCTCAAGGGTGACATTCCCAGTTTGTTGTTTTTCTTAGTTGGTTATTGTGCTTGTTTGTTCAGGAAAAATAAGGCATTATGCTTAACATGCTGGTGAATGGTACTCTTGTATTGCAGAAGAATGATAGCAAAATGGAAGCAATCTGTTTCCCCAGGGAGTTAGCTATTTAAATTCCACCTACTGAATACTTGCATGCCAGACAAGCTGTTGACATTTAACTTCCCCCACCCCACCAATTAGAATCTCTGAAGTTACCCAAAAGTGTGATGGCTTTATGAGATCACACAGAGGCCTAGAAAGTGTGGGGAAGGCATTTGACATTTCTACCAGACTCAGTTCCTGTTCAGTGACAATGAGGCAGGGATTAGTGACCCAGAGAAGTGGAAAACAAATCTCCTAGCTGTTTATGCTATCAATCACATTAGACATGGGAACTTTTACAGTCAGATAGCCGGGCATTGCTAGGCATTTGAAAGATACAGGACAGAAGTCTACCAGCAAATTCTGAAAAATAACAAAATGGGCTCAAAGTTGCTGCTGAGTTCATTTCCTTTCCCTATAAATAGACCTAGAGGTTCTCCAGGTTTTGGAAACTTGAAAAGTTAAGGATGTCCATCCCTCAAATAGCTATTGCATTTCATATATAAGTGCAGAGACAGGAAAAGAAGAAAAACACAGTCTCCTGTAGACAATTTAGGACGCAGATATAGTGGGGGACAAAGATTCAGAGGAAGAAAAGAATATAGTAATCTTCTCTGAAGGTACTGTAGTTATCACTCTTTCCTCTTTCCATTTACTCATCCTCCCACCAGCATTCAAACTGCTTTCTAAATCCCTTTTGCAGATCATATTTCCTTTCACCCTCTTCTCAGATGCTTCATCACAAAATAGGAAAATAGAGTAGCTTTCACTTCTGTGGTGTGTAGCGAGAAGATCAAGCCTTTCCCATTTCTCTTATAGGACAGATCATTGTGTACAGATGGGGTTGCAGAGCTGTTACAGGATCAGTCCATTCAGACAGTGTAGTTCTGCATTCACTCTTTCAAATAAAAATCTTCCTGATCTTTTTACTTGATGCTTCTCCTGTTAAACTGCATTTCATCTTTTTAAATAAGCACTTGGTACCAGTAAAGCAGATTGTCCTTCTGTTGTACTGAAACCATTATTTTCCTTTCCTTTTTTTCTTTTTGGTCTCTCTCGGCTTGTGCAAGTGCCAGTGTTGTGGGAAAAGACCTCATTATGGCAACAAATTATGAGTGGGGTTACCTCAGT